TCAGCGAAAATTTATTCCAAGCGAAAATAAAGTATTTTACAGTTAGTCTATATTAGTCACTATTCAGATAAAGTCTAAAAATGGGGATTTATATGCACCTCTTCCTTTACCTGTATTCAAACACATCCCATTCAAACTTCACACGTACAGCTTGGGTTATGTACATGCATTCATTTCGTGATCATGCAAGGATTTTGGAGGCATAAATGATTTATACATGGTCCTACATATCAAACACATATCCGGCGAGTGCTATCTAAGAAATAGATCAGTCTTGCAAATGTCTTCATTGTTGAGCTTAATTTTATGACTAAACAAGTTTTATTTTGCCAAATTTCCTTGTCAATCTTATTATTCCTGCTAGTTGACCGAAGTAAGCATATCTCGTTGGACTAGTTTAGTTCCTTGTTCAAACAAAGTAATTGTTTTTCCAAAATAAGAGCATTTTTATTTTAGTCGTGGTGGTAATTAGTTTTTGATTTCACAGAAGTCTTGTGTGCCCTCTCCAGGATGTTCTGTGCACTAAACACTAAAACAAGGTCTATCAAAGCACTTTCTCCTTTCTCACTTTGTTCTCCTTAATTTCTTGACTTATGAGTAATTTATTCACTTGGTGTCAGTCTTTTTCAGACTTCCATGCAAATGCATGCAAACTTCAAAAAGCATACCCCTTTCTTTCCCTGCAAAATTCAGAATGCATGCACGTATCCCTTGGCTAGCAAACTGACACCCTGAGCAGTCCAATTTACTGTAACATATAGAATACAACATGGTACTTGATTTTAGAAAAGCAATCTTTTAATTACCATTTATGTACACTGATATAACAAATATTACATGTAGTTATGTTATATAATATCAGAGGTACATTACTTGGGGTTTGTAACTACGGTGACATGATACCAAGATCCCGTCACAATCTCGCTCTCGCATAAGCGTTCCAACTCAGAAAAATGCGAATGCGCATGCCCGAGGTAACTAGGATACTGGGATGTCCAGGTGGATCAAAATAGCTGCTCACGATATGACGGATTACGAGAACTATATTTTCTGTACATTTTCGATGTATCACATTTTTCACTATGATAGCGACAAGAAAAGTTTTATTTTTTCATTACAAACCTTGAACATTGATATGTGTCATGTCAGAAGGTCGTAGCCTCAGTCTCGCTATCTACGAGAAGAGACTTGAATGGGATCTTGACATGATGTCACCATACAGTACTATGCGAGTTGCAAACCCCAAGTAATGTACCTCTGATAATATATATATCAACCAACTAGACTACATACAAGATATGATAAGAATGGCTTTCTGGAACTGCAGAATAATACTAAGATTTGTGGACACCCTTGAAATTAACCATTTATTAAAACAAACATAAAAGCATGGTTTCTTGAATCACATCGATTATGTCAAATATATACAAAAACAGAAATTGCTTGAAATCTTTAAATAGTGAAATTCCACTGAAAATGAATTGTTTTAGAGTACTATGTTTGTGCTACTGTAGAATACTTTATTTTAGCTGGAATTTATTTTTGTTGAAAAACTGTTTGGGTGTTTTGTATGAAATTTATTTTCACTGATTTTTGACAAGTTGAATGTAAAATATAGGAAAAAAGGTATATTCGCTAGATTTTATTTTCACTAAATCAGCCCTTTCGAAAATAGCGAAAAATAAAATCCAAGTATAAATTAAGTATTTTACAGTATTTTCCTATTACCAGTATATTGGCAACTTAACGTGATATCTCACTGACTGTATAAGACCAAGTCAAGCATGAGCACCTGCAGACATCAACCTTAACCGAGATTCCCTCCAAAGTCCCATCCCAATCTGCCAGTATCTTTGGCCTCCTTTTTTGCGGTGTATCTGTGGCACACTTTCAATTCCTCCCTTTCTGGCTATGTACTCAGGACCACAAGTCTAATGCAACAACTGCTATGCTCTGTAATGAGGAGGCTTAAATCTGTAATAACACACCAAACATACGGCAAATTCTTGGTGTGTTTAACACCTACATGTACGAGTATCACATTTATAAAGCTGGATTAATTTATTAAAAAAAGTCACTTTTTCAGGTCAAGGTTTGATTATTCACACAAAAATTTAATTAAATGCTGTGCATTATATGATTTCTCAATCAAATTGAGGTGTGATGTGATCGCCGATGGAATGGGATTACATAACTGATCATTACTCATCAAGGCAACACAATTTGATGATATCTCTACAATAAGTAAATTGTACTTCAAGCAAAATTATCTTTTGAAAAATGATATATTAAGTCAGTTCGTCATTCCTACTTCGTACTGAATTCAATATTTTGTTTCTAATCATAATTGTAAATGGTTAAGGAGGTCTGCACTGAATTTAACTTTTGACATCTACTGTGATACGTCAATTTATTCAAAATTTGCAACAATGTCAATATATCATGTCACCAGCCAAATTTTGTAGATATGATGAAAAATATATTATGGTATATAGAAACAATTTTTTTTTTGACTCCCACAGTTCCTTACTTTGGATGGTGGCCTCGTATTTCATCAATACAACTTCATACAATGTATCATGAGGCTACCAAAAATGGGGGGACCAGACAATGTTTCAAGATACAATAGTCTTAAATGTCATAAAAAAAGGTCAAAATTGGTATTTTTACACTGCATTGTGGAGAAATTTTTCTTTATAACTCAAAATTTTTCTTGTTGACATGGGATGAAAGTGTGATATGAATTTGATACAAGCAGTCTGTCGGCTGAGATATAGCTCCACTGTTACCGGTAGCAATGCACTTTTCAATTGAAGAACTGAAAATGAACAAATCTGAGAGAGGTCCACCTGAGATACTATGACAGAACCCTTTGCATATGGAAGTTATTTTCACGAGTGATGCGGTGTATCCTGCGGCCGTACTTTCACAAGCGAAGCATGGAATACTATGATTGGGAGAACTTAATGTATGTTGACCACCTGGAAACTGAGCCACGGGGAGGGTGTGGGGTTCTGTCATAGTATAATATCATAGCAATCAGTTGCTGTTTTTAACAAGTATATATCACTTCTTACCAAAATGCACTAATATTAAAAAATTGAAGATATCATCACGAAATGAACAAATCTAAGAGAGGTCTACTCAAGGTACATACATACCAAGTATCAAAGACATCTGACTTGTAGTTTAAATTTAAGAAGAAGTCGAAAAAGTAACAAGCGACCTTGTGGTCGGTAAAGCTCTGCTGTAATTGACAAGTGCAGTTACTACCCGGTAGATGAATGGGAGAAGTGGAATCTATGACAGATTAGTAATTGTGGCAATGCATGGTCACTGGAAGGGCATATCCTCTAAGAGGAAATGTATTTGTGTATGTAATGCATGGATATGTATAATTGATAATGTGGGTATATACAGGAAATTAAAGCTGAAAGTTGTTGTCACTATTACCAGAATATATTTTTGCATTTTATAGTTACTGTACATGTGAATGACAATGTACAGTCAATATGACATGTGATCTTGAGATGACCCTAACCTGGCCTTGAAGATTTTGGAGAGGTGTTTTATTGATTCCCTCCAACCCTCACTGTTCAGTATCGCACAAATAAAAGCAGCAAACATATAAACCATTTTTGGAAAACATTGGCCCATCCAGTTCATTTTCAAAGACAATGCCTAGCTTCCAACAGTTGATACATAGCCCATATATAACATATGGGAAAGTGAAGGAATCCAAAACATTAATAAAAAAAAAACACAACTTTCACAAAAATGAAGATATCTTCACCATTTGAACAAACTTGAGAGAGGTCCAGTCTAAATTATGAATTTCAAATCAATGTGGCAGGCAGTTTCAAGAAGAAGTCGAAAATGCAATAAAACTTGACCCTTGCATATGGTGCCATGAAAATAATAAGTCTGAGTGTAATCCATGTCAACAACATTCATGCCAAATTTCAAAGCAATCTGACAGTGGTGGAAAAAATCATTTTTAACCATAAATGACAAAAATTGTCCAAAAGTACATAGAGGTTTACATGTCATGAAATGAACAAATCTGACAAAGGACCATCCCAGGTATGTGTGGTATGAATAGCAGAGCAATCCAGCTTACGGTTTTGGAGAAGAAGTTGTTTGATGAAAAAAATTGATGGAAGACCACAGATGTGGTCAACCCATGAGCTCAGGTCGGTCATCTTCAATGACAACAGAGCTAAAAAGTTGAAGCAGGCGATGACAGACAATCAGTCATATAGGCTCCACTTGACAATTCCATTTGAATTCAACTTAAACTGTGTTAATCCTTCTAGCATTTCACATTGGATTATAGCCATCTCTTTTTTATGCAGGAATGGAAGATAAGCACTCAATATTGTTATAATAGACCTGACATGCTGGACAATCCATGTGATATTTTTGTATTACCAGAATATCTTCATTTCTTCCAAGACGATTTTGAAGAAATCGTATAATCTCCACACATTTCAAAGCAGGGTTCTTTGATTTCATTTTCAGAAAAACTTTCTTTGTGGCAGAATCATTAAGATCAGAATAGTGTTTCACAGCTTTCATTTTATTTGGATTGATATCAGTAAACTCCTGCGCAAGATAATCCACAGCATTTTTACCGCACAACGGAACATCTAAAGACACCAACTCGTCCATGAGGTCAATGTTTCCTTCCATTTCAGTGACTGTTAGCTTACACTTCAGGTTCCCAATTTTCTCATAATAGACTTGACACGCTGGACATTCCTTGTGATATTGTTGTATTACCTCAACAACTTCATTTCTTTCAAGATGATTTAGAAATCGTATAATCTCCATACATTTCAGTTGAGGATTTTTTGATTTCATATTCTGAAAAACTTTCTTTGTGGCAGAATCGTTAAGACCAGAATGGTGTTTCACAGTTTTCATTCTATTTGGATTGATATCAGTAAACTCCTGCACAAGATAATCCACAGCGTTTTTACCGCACAACGGAACATCCACAAACACCAACTCGTCCATGAGGTCAATGTTTCCTTCCATTTCAGTGACTGTTAGCT